AAATAAAAAAGCGTTAAATAAAAGTTTATAAAAATGTACCCTAAAAGTATCTATTACCTCTTAAATAGTATATAGATATAGGTAGAAATTTGCGCCGACAGCATTTTCGGCGGCGGCGTTTCTTTTTTTAAAATGATCGGCTGGCGGCGGCGAATCGATTTAGACGCCGCAACAAAAATCGGCGGCGGCGCGGCGGCATCAAATATTTTTCTAACTTAAATTTTTTAATTAAATTTATCATTGGAAACACTTTTAAAATAGAATTTATACTGTATTATGTTTATAACTATATTTAATGATTTTATTAAGTTATAATTATCATGAATAAATATTATTTTGGACATAATAATGATCTTTAAGAGTTCAGAGTGAGCCCAGCTATAGAAAATACACGCTCGCTGGGTGTGTCGTAGCTGGAACGCATAGGACCTTTCTAGCTAATATTGAAAGTTTAGGAAGATCCAATGCTTTTATCTTCCAAAAATCGAAGACATCTTTTATCTCCAAATTATAAGGTGAAAATAATGAATAACACTCTTTTCTAAACTAGTTAAATAGTGTTGTTGTTCCAGGTTATTGTTTTGAATAAATGAATGTTTCGTAGCCAATGACTTAAGATAATTGAATTTTGAAGCAACTTCTGTCGTTTCACATTCGTTTAATTCCTCCGTGTAAGGCCGTAGAGAGGTAGCGTGTTGACATAAAAATTCATCCGGTTTAATATTTTTTCCTTTAAATATTCATTTACTATGTTTATTGATTGAAAACGAGGATCCAAAAGTGCTCCTAACACCTAAGTAAAAAAATAAAAGAAAGAGAAATAATATATAAAAAAAAATAATTTATGTATTTTAAAATACTACTACCTGAAGATCGGTTATTGGAAATCTATGATCAAATTTAGTAAGAATATTTTGTTTAAGGGATGCTATGGGAGGACTATCATATTCTTTTACAATTAAATAATTTTTAATTTCACTACGAAATAATAAGGCTAAATTTATAGTAACTCCTTTGTGGACAAATAAAAATTCAACAGTTTTTTTGAAGGTTTTAAGAAAATTTAAAAGTTCATGCACCAAGTCCCACTCGCAGTTAAATAATTTGAGATCCGGTTTCTCCATTCTATTTAATAGAATATTTATAGGATTTTTGTTTTTGCCAGTCACACTTTCCAGCATTATTAAAATACTATGTCAACGTGTAGGCACATTTAATTTAGAGGTTTTATGTTTTTTCTCATATGATTTTTGATTTTCACTATCATCATCAAACCCCAAACGATCTTCATAAAAAGGATCATTATCATCCAAATCTAAAATATCCGATGTATATGATATCGATTTAAAACATTTTCTATTTTCTATATCGTTTATATTTTCAAAATCCGCTGTTTTGAATCTTAAGGCAGCTATAACTTCTCTAACTTTTTTAATGAAATTTTCTATTTTATTAACTTTTTTTATTCCATCGACTGTCACTAGATTATGTAAACCATGCCCCAAACATAAATGATGGTCGTATTCTCCTAGACGAGCACTTTTATTTACATTGGGTCCTGCATCCGTAACCATTTGAATTTTCTTGGATTTTCAACTATTTCTATTTCGGAAAGAATAGTTTCAGCGGTATGTTTTTGAGTGACATGATGTGTCGCCAATGTATAAAACACAATATTAAAATTATTATCTATTTCCTGAAATGTAAAGGTGATATGATTTCGCCGTCTATATAGGTCCACATATCAAAAGTTATAGCACAAAATTTAGGACCTATATTAATTTGTTGGCATATGTATGCTTTCATTGATAAATACACATCATCTAATCCACTCCGGCTAAGTGTAGTTCTGTCTGGTAATTCTTTGGTATCTGAAATAATGCCATATTTCTACATAATAAAAAGTTAATAATAAAAATATTATGCTATAAAAAATTCTAAATGTGGCATGTTATAAAATAATTAAATATCTTAACAGTTAAAATAAAAATTAAGATTGCCCTATAAAAAATTATAATGATTTTACAAATAACCTTTAGAAAATCTTGTATTCCGGTATTATTTATAGAAGAGAATGGCATTAAATCCTTGCAACACATGAGAACATAATTCCTTACCAGAATCTATTTTTTATCTTTTATAGGGTCAGTTGTATCTTTTACAATGGGTTTGAAAAATAACTTTAAATTTTGTTTAGATATTTCTTCTTCATGATAAATCATGTTTGTCAAGTAAATGTTTTATTATATTTGATGTGCTGATATTTTTTGAAAAAGATTTGATTGGATAACTAATTAAAAAATTTACAAATATTTTTAAAATAATCAAAAAATTTACTCTGAAAATGAAAAATTATTTTCATCCTCACCATCTTTATCAAGTGATATTTGCAAGCATATATTACAAAAGACTTTATCTGTAGCAACACTGGTTCTCTTATTATTTGTGTCAGTTTTTAATATTAAGGATCCAAAATGTTTCCATGCAAAAGAAGACTTTGCTTGCAAGGATATACTATATTTTGTTACAGGGTATTGCAATGCTGCATCCATTCTAATTGTTTTAGTCCTGGTATTTTTATATATGTTATAATGGCAACAAAATAAAAATCATTAATTAAAATTTCCTATTATGATAAAAAATAAATTTTATATAACGAGTTGTAAATTATTTGAAGCATCAAAATAAAAGAATAAAATATAGAATTACCTTTTCAAATTTAATGTCCTAATCTTATTTTATCTAGCATGTTGGTCACAATCTGCCCAAAGTGTGCGAATATGAATTGTTACAAATCAAATTTATAGCAAATAATATTTATTAATTTTAAAAAATAAAATCGCATTTTTTAATAATTCAAAAAATATTTAATATTTTTCTTCTAATTACAATTCATAAATAATATATAAAATAAATTAATAATAAAAAATATGTATCATGCCGCCATGTCACCGAATTTTTACATCGGCGGCGGCGTGTTGAGCGCCGGCAATTTTTTGGCGGGCGGCGTCGGCGTAGTCAAAATCACTGGCGGCGGAGCATTTGACCGGCGGCGCACATGTCTAGATATAGGTACTTTTTATACTACTCCGATAATCTTAATAGATTTTCAATAATATAATTACGATTATTATACATTAATTATTGCTTTTTAAAAAAAAAATTTTTATATTAAAAAAGTAAGGAAAAAAAAATAATATAATTTTTTTTCCTCTTATTTATAAAAAAATAAGCACTTTTTATTTACTTTCCCAATGCTTACTTTTTAAACTTAAAATTACATAATACATTCGCATGATTTTCTCTTTATTTATTAAAAAAAATAAGCAATATTAAATTTGCATCCCTCATGTAATAAATATAATAATAATTTAACGTAGTAGAAATATTAGTAATTTTTTAACATATTATTAACGTTATAAAAATTGTATTAATTTTTTTTAACGAAATCAGATTAGTTTTTTTAAACATATTATAAGATTATATTAAGTTTATTTAAGAATTTTGTAGGAAAAATTTAAAGGGAAGTAATGTTTCCCCAGCTTCTATGGAAGTCTCGCCGTTGATAACTTCTATTGTTTCATATATCATTTTAATAATATAATATAATTATTTCTTTTCGGTAAATTTAAAAAAAAAAATTCATAAACAAAATAATAATTAAGATAATATATAATACTCAGTACTGATAATAACCTCTGAAATAAATGTTTTTTGATTAAAACGGTAGCATTTTTTTATTACTTTATTTAATTTAAATTGGGCAATGAAAAATATAATTTAGTAAGTTTTATATTGATTTTGTATTCAGCCAGTTAAATTCTTATTGTAAGCATTAACTACTTCAGTAAAATAATTTTCATCAAATAGAGGAAACCAGGTTGAATTGCAAATTTCCTATTTCGCCATGGAATTTATATATAGAATTATATCATTTAATAGCCCATCATTAGCATAAAAACAAAATAGGGCACTATTATATATTTAAAAAAAACATATTTAGTTATAAAATATAAAAATATTATATAACAAAAAATATCTGTATTTTAGCATCTATCATTATTTCGTTGCATAATGAGTTTAATTGATAAATTTATATGATTAATCTTTTTACAATGAAAAAGATGGAATAAAGAAATGTAATTGGGCCAAATTCATTTAACTCAAATTCCAACATTAATATATTTCTATATATTATCACTTTATTATTTCCAAATTCAATATTAAAAAGATTACAATAAAATAAATTTTTTATTATAAATATTAACATTCCATATCTATACAAAAATATACATTATGTTTTAATTAATTTTACTTAAAAAATTTTCAAACATTAATAATGTAATGTTATAAAGTGACAATTAATTTGTAATAAATGATGAGCATAATAATATTAAGTTTTATTTATTTTGTAACTTATTTTATTTTTGTTTAATTTAATTTATTATATATCTATACCAAAAGATTAATTATAAAAAATCAAATATAATTTTTTGTAAAATTACATTAAAATTTAAAAATCTTTTTAATTTATTAAAAGTAACTTCCAACCTTGAAAAATATATATTAATATCACAACATAAAATAAATGTCGTTTTTCGTCTAGTAATTTGATAAATTTGAATTTGGCATAATATAAAAATAAAATTTAATTTAGGTTGCGAAAATATAAATGAAATAACAAAATATGTAAACGTTCATTTTAGGTTATGCCAATAAATATAAAAAATAAAAATTAATTTTAATTATAATAACAGTTTCACTTTAAATTACGCCGAAAGATAAAAAGTGAAATAAAAGTGTTAATCTAAAGCAGAAATAAAAAATGTTAATATAATCAAAATCATTTATTTTTGATTTTAGAATAAACAGACTTAGTTGCCCTTATTAGTCTAAATTTGACAGCCCAGGGTTACTGCTCTGTTCCTATTCCTACCTCTTTTTCCATAAGCCTGGATGCATGTAGCCACAGTTTATATATATTAATCACCTTTGTAGGATAGGTTTGATCGTTTAAAAATTTAAATTTATGCTAGAAAGTCAGATAAGCTATTCAGAACGTTACAGTGATGATAATTATGAGTATAGGTTTAATAAGGCCTAATGATAATAAATTTATAAAATATAGGCATGTAGCATTGCCTGAAGAATTAGCAAAATTAGTTCCAAGAAATCATTTAATGACAGAAACAGAATGGCGAAATTTGGGTATACAACAATCACCTGGATGGATACATTACATGATCCATATACCTGGTAAATATGCTATAAAATAAATTTTTTATATCTCTATTAAAGAGCCACATATTCTTTTATTTAAAAGACCTTTACCAAAAAATAATTCAAATGAAACATAGAAGATATTATATATTAATGAAATTTTTAGAAAATTTATATGTATTATATATTATTTATTTGACATAGATATTGATTATATCTCATTTTGTAATTTTATATCAGTGTAATAAATGACAGCTAATATTGAGTTTTAGCAATATTAGATCATTATTTTTTGGTTTTAATTTTTTATTTATAATACAATTATAAAAATATTTTTAGTTATTGATCAATTAATCCTTAATTGATTTATGAGAATTATATTTTTATATGTAGTTTTTTGTTACAGTGTATACATATTTAATCTTTATAATGCAATCGGAAATAAAACAATACTTGGTATTGGCAGATACTTTTAATTTCTGATACTAGTAACTAAGGCTGGATTACAATATTGTTTTATTAGGTTAAACAATATTTTACCTTTATTATATTGGTTTATTATTATTTTAAAAACTTTTAATTGTGTTTAATATCATTATTTTCAATTTGATCCTCTATAACTTTGACTTTAATTATGATATCTTAAATAAATAATTGAATTCATATCAATATAAATCCACAGGCACAAAATATTGCTATCACATCCAATCCTAAATTTAAATTATAAATTTAGATAACCTATTTGATCTTATAATTTTTACACCCAGACATATGCAGGAATTTGTTATGTAGGGAGAGAAAGAGGGGGGAATAATATAAAAATTCTTTAGAATTATTTTAGGAGTTATTTAAGTATATCTTAAATTTCAGAAATTTTTTAAGACTATTAACTACTATTGACAATATTGAATACATAAAAATTAATGAAAAAAATATTAAAATTGGCATATGAATCACTATAAAATAAATATAAAAAATAACTCAAAAAAATATAAATTTGTATGTATTTAAAATTTTTTATATATAAATTTTATTATTTTAAAAAAATTGGAGATATAGATTAATGTACAAAAATATTTTTAGGAGTTATTGCATGAATATAAACTTATAAAGTATTAATGAAAAAAATATTTTGTATTAAAAAAATATGGTTAATGCCTATTATAAATTTATAGTATGAAATTCAATCTTTTGGATTAAATTAATTTTTCAATGATTTTATCAGTGCTTGGATTCAACTCCATATTTTTATTAAGAAGGGCTAACACATTCAATCTATTTTTAGAAGTATACTTCTCACATTTTTATTATTGCTAAAGAAGAAAATGTTCTTCCATTGATGGAAGTACTAATTGGCAAAGTTGTTAAAATACATTTCTTGATATATTAGGAAAATAGTCGGAAATGTTTGAAATTATGTGAAGCATCTATAGCATTTTTTGGAATATTATCAACCATATTTAACCTTTTATACAATAGCTTGTATTCACTAGTAATGCATCATGGATGCTGTAAAAGCTGTAACTATTGTCAAATTAGAATATCCAAATTGCATATATTAACTTGTTAATATTACAACAAAAAGAGACCTTTATTATCAAAAACTTAATTTATTTACATTTATAAAATTACTATTTATACTAATTTTAAGCAAATGAAATTTGCATACTAAAAATCCATAAATTTTAATAGAATCAACTTACAATAACTTTAATAACGACAATCATGACATAATCAATTTATATTTTTAATTTGGACTATCACGGCACCCTTTCCCATAATTAGCAACAACATTAATGAAATGTGTATTGTGAAAAATGATGAAAAAAATGGAATATTAAAATCAAATATCTTTGACGATTCTGATAAGAAAAAATTTGGAATTAATATAATAAACCAGAGATAATTAGAGTTTCTGAAAAAAAAAAGAATAAAAATATGGGATATGAAATTAATGGGATTGAAATAGTAAATATAATAAAGTACATGGTAAAGAAAATATTAAGAAAAGGAAAATTGAAAAAGAAATTTTAGAAAGAGAAAATAAATAAAAAGAAAAAAGGTAAATTCTTAAAAAGTTTGAGGAAATGGAATGGAAAATTAGAAAATTGCGCGAAGCAAATCAATTATATAAGGTAAATAATTATAGAAATCAAGGAGAAAAGAGGAAAAATAAAAGGGGTTGGTCAAGTGAAACCGGATCAAATGGAACATGTTTTGCATGTGGGAAATATGGCCACATAAGAATGTAAGGAGAAAATAAATCAAGAGCGTCATCGAATGGAGTGTGTTATACATGTGGAAAATTTGGCCACATAAGCAGGGATTGTAATGAGAATGATTCAAAAGGCGTTACCAGTGGTTTGTAAAAAATGTGGGAATAAGGAGCACAATATAGAGGGTTGTTATGTTCCAGCGCATAAATTAGAGGAGGATACGTGTAAAAGAATTGTTTGTTAAAAATGCGGAAAATCGGGGCATGCACGAGATGAATGTTTATTAGGTAACAGACCATTTCCAGCAGTTGATTAGCATCGGATATACATAATAAAAATGAGAAGGAAGTACCAAGAAAAGATTTGTATGAAAGAAATAATGTTGGAATGTCACATGCTTCAAATTTTGAGGAATTGGGCATTTTGCCAAGGATTGTCCAATGGGATGACTGTATGATGGAAAAGGGGATTATCATGGAATTTTGCTTCGGGAGATTCTCAGGGGCAAATAAATAATATTATAAATAATAGTGACGTGGAAAGAGAAAGAATTGGGGGTTTAACACACAGAGTTAGTGAAAACGATGTGAAATAAATAAATCTGAGAAGTGGTATGCTGGCAGATTTTATTAGAATATAATAAAATAAATCTGGAATGGGATAAAAAATCAGAGTTATTAAAAAATAATTTTAAAGAAAGTGAGGTGAAAAATAATGTAAAGGAAATTGAGATTATAAGTGATATGAATCCAAAATTGATGGTAGAAAATAATATAAATGATTCATGTCCAAGAGTAAAGGTGACCGTCGAAAATGAAATAATGATGTTATTAGATACAGGAGTGAAGATCTCGGTTATTAGTCCCGAGTTGGTAAGTAAATTGTCAAATATAGGTATAATAAAAGATAAAATGACGGTTAAACAGTTTGATGGATCTATATGGTAGTTTTAGGGAGAGTCAACTTACCAGTGGTGGTGGAAAATATGATTCAATTTTTGGATTTATGGGTTGTAGAGAAGGAAGTGGAAACAGTAATGAGGTGGATTGGATAGTGAAAATTGGACAGCCTAAAATTTATGATAAATTTTTGGAAAGATTAAGCTCGAAAGTGAAGAAATAATGCCAAAGGAAAGGAAAGAAATGTATAGTCATAAAGATATTAATACGAGGGCACTGGGAAGAAGGAAGTGTGAAGATGAAAATGGGCATCAGTAGGATATAGTAGATGGTATAAATGATACAAACGAGGGAAAGGTAGTTGATGGGAGAAGTAATTTGGTTGGGAAGTGGAAAATAAGTATATTAAAGAAATAGCTAATAATGGAGTGGGCCATAGTTTGGAGGTTGAAAAGTTATGTAAAAAACAATAATGATACAAGAAAATATTTGGATAATCATCAGTTGGAAGAAATAAAATTTGGAAAAGATAAATGGCTGGTGTTAGAAAATTAACAGCGAAATTAGTAAGGGAAAAATTTGAAGACAATGTAGTAGTGTATGAAATTTGAGTAAATCAAAATGTGAAGAGTTGCAAAAAGCAATGGTAGATTTGAAGAATAAATATAAAAAATATTTTGACAAAAAATTGGGTCGTTTGGTAGATTATGAGGTAGATATACGTTTAAAAGAGATTGGAGGATATAGTGAGGTCACAAAGGCATCGGATCAATTGAGAGCAAGAATGGTATAAAAGTGTAATGAAAAAAATGGAAATAAAGGGAAAAATTTGGGAACATATATATATAGATGAGAAATGTAAATAATAATTATCTGAGTTATGAAGAATAAGTTGAAATTAAAAAAAGGGGGAAAATAAAAATTGTGAAAAACAACGGAAAATTGAAGTGGAAAGGTCCAATAAACTAAAGTACGTGGGGGGGGGGTCAAATTCCGATTCATTTTCATATGTTATGTTATATAATGATGATATATATAGGAAGTTAAGAAGTAGAGAATATATATATACGAAAATAGAGAATTATTTGATGTTAAATAAAATCAAAAGAATAAATGAAGTAAGATATGGGGGTCAAATGGTAATTATATTAAAGCTCAACGGTTATTGATAGTTTTTGTAATTTATCGTGATGGTATTTTATGTTATTTATCTTAATAATGTGGTGTGGGGAGGTTGAAAGATAGAAATTTTATATATGATTTGGGAATTTAATTAATTGTAAATAAAAGAGAAAAATAATTGTAAAATAAAGAAAGATATAACACATGAGTTCGGGTTAAAATGCATTATATATTAAAAGTGAAAAAGAAAATGATGAAAGAGTCAGAAGATAAATTTGGTGCTTAAATGAAAGCAATTAATTAATGAATTTAACGAAAAAGAAAAAAATAATCAATTATGGAAAATTGGTAAAATAGGAAATATGAAAGATTATAAATAAAAATAGTAGATTTTAAAAATTGTAAAAAGGGGGTTTTAGAAATGAGTTTTGTGTGGGAAGCGAGAATAATCAAATTGTAATAGTTATGAAGAAGCAGCTTATGGTATGTAAAGAAAAAAGAAGTATAATTATAAAAACTTGATAAAACGGGGATAGGAATAGGAAAATGAAACAAAAATTGTGAAAAGGCAACTGGAAGGGAGGAAAGGAAAGTAATTTATAATATTGTGGTAAAAAAAAGGAAATAATAAATATGAAGAGTAATGTTATTTTTTGTGAAGTAATTTATAAATTAAGGGGTTATGGTGTGGTTTAGTGAAATATTTTATTAAAGTTTTTTTTTAAAATATTTGATTTAAATTAAAGTTGAATAAAGTTATTTTTATATAATCATTATAAAAATATATATACTTAGTATTAAATTGTTCAATGGATACTTTTTACATCAAATCGGCAAATAATATGATTCAAGTGAACATGCTCAATATGTTAAATCGGCTATCTGACCAATGGCACGATTGCTGGATCAATCAACAGGATGGGAAATGTATACGGATATCTTATCAACTAATGAAATGATGTCGGTGTCGAATGGATACGCATCCCGTCAAATAATTGCTCGTGGTA